CATATTTCCCTCATAAAGTCATGTCACGACACGACAACAAGATACGCCTTCGACGCATCTTTTCAAGCTCCATCCGATGAATTACCTCTTATTGCGATTAAAAGTCATCCAATAATGGAAAAAACAGCTTTTAAAGGCGTTTTTCCAAGTTTGAGCATATGATGCACCATTGCACGCGATTGCTAGGCGTGAAACGATATATATTTCACATATACTAGACGTGGGCTATTAGAAAAACAGTTTTTGTCTTTGTCCAAGCACTTTCGAAACAGACTAGAATTACAAATATGGTTTACAAAAAAGGCCTACTTTTCGGAAAAAATGAATTTTTTTGGAAAGTCCCTTGAAAACGTGCTTAGCAATTTTGTCTGTTAGGAATTTTACAGCGCTGCACATATAGAATCTAATCTGACGGTCGCAGCTCATGAAAGTATTTCGCTAAAAAATGATGAAGATGCCGAGAAAAGATGCGTTTTGTTGGGAAGTGGGATCTCCGCAGGTCCAGAAGGCTAAGATGTTATTGTTTTAAAATGTTGTAAACGTGATACTGGTCATCAGGAGCTCGAGTTGTACTAGTCCTATTACTTTCAAACTGTTGAGATAAAGTCGATGTAAACGTGGTATGTTTTCGAAAGGACAACAATCCCTTACAAAAATGTAGCAAACTGCTGAGTAAATCGTTCTCGTTCTTATATCGTCAAATTCTGGGAAGAATCAACTAAGCGTCCACTCTTACTATGACACGAGACAGACTTTAATCTAGTTTTATACTCACTTTCCCACAATAGGCGACAGTACAACATGCAGTACATTTCTTCAGTGATGATCCGGTTGCATTTGACGTACACAATCGATTACAACATTTAATTTTTGACGCTGTCAACATTTCGCGACGTTCTTTGTCGTAATCAAATAATTGTTTTAATGAGCAAGATATAACTAAATAATAAACAGAGATATTATCAGTCGAGAAAAGCTTAGTAATGAGGCATTTCATGTAACATGTAACAATTTAAATTTTACTAATTCTTCAAACGTTATTGACCACGTAACGGAAATAACACACACTTCTCATGGTGAACAAAATACAGACTTCTTCAATCTTGCGGAGAACTACATCAGTTTTTGAGGTCTGAGGATCAACGGAAATTCACGTAATAGACAAACTATGCATATTGCATGAGTAGGAGAGTCTCTGCCTTTTAGTGTGGATATGAGGTGCGCATCAAACTTTCTTATTTTGCAGTTATCCAGCGCTAGAGGGATTTGCGAGAAGAGAGCTCTTACCAACTCCTATTTCATTTTACTTTTTATTTTTAAACAAGAGATTTTACCTTAAAAAACTGATAGACGTTTCATAAAAGACAAAAAGAAACAAGAACTAACTTTTTGCAATCGAGTTACCGAACAACTTGATTGTTTCTACAGCAACAGTTCACCTATACGGATTTGAAGTTAATTAAAGAGAAGCTCATTTAATGTAGTTTCGCTCTATAGCTTTTGTCTTTTACACATATATTCACCCATTTATGAAATATAAAGCACAAGTATAACAACTAAAGGACGGGGGCGATTACCTCAGGAAATCGGTCCATGCCTGAATTTCATCGACTAATCAAAGGCTAGATGTAGAATGTAGAGGGGAATATTTCTAGGTACTTACTAGACTTAAGAACCACTCTAAAAAAAAATCGGTTGGATAAAATTTGATTAAGTTCCTACGAGATTTTCACCAACAATGAAAATCGGGTAAAAATTTCGAAATACACGTTCGTCGACTCTGTTTTTGATCCTGATTCCGAATATATTTTTATTGGTTAAAAAGTTGAGTTCTGATGGAGAAACTTGAGAATTATGCGCAGAATTCTGGCTTTGCAAAAACGTTTCTAATGTAAAGGAACTCTACGACACTTTTTTCCTCTATATTATATATATCAAATTGTAGCTTGACGAATTCTCTATCGAATGGTTATTTACTGTGGTGGCTGAATGAGAAATATTGACATACAATATCTGAGACTTTTTACACGCAGGAGATCATTTTCTATAGCCTGAGATAGTTCTAAACATGCTTGGCCTCAGAACGGCTATTCCCGTATATGTGTTATGCAGAAATATAGTGACGAAAGAGAGCTTTCGAATGATATATAATAGTCGTGAGGAACTGTGAAGCTGAGGGGGAAAGATCCTAACCTACGATCTAAAATATATGTTGCAGGAGAAATTAAAATCAAGTGGAGTTTAAAATTCTTCTAGTAGAAATTACAATTTTAATTTTTCCTCGTGGAAATTAAAGTCAACATATTCACATACACGAAAACTCAATTATCCGGCTTTTGCGCTTGAATTTTTTTTTTCTGAAAAGCGCACGATGTTTCTGGAAATCACATTAAGATTTTGAAAACGCCCCCCCCCCCCCAAATAGACGGCCACATGTCCGGACAAAAGTTCAAACGCCCTATTAGAAGCCCATGGCCTTCTGATAGGTTTGTCTACATGAACGAATGAGAAAGATAGGCAAAATAGTAAAAAATCGAAAGAGTAGACGTCGTCTTGCTACATATTGTCCTCGACGTATTGAAGAAGAAGCTCGTAAAGCCAGAACAGCACAGTCAAAATCTTGACAAGAATACAAAGCAAAAGACTCTAGTAGATATGTGGAAAAAAAGTTTGTCTCTAGTATGAAAAAAATAAATAAAAATGAAACTGAAACATAGGACATTCTCAATTTCAGACGCATTAGAAGGTCACCCTAATTAGAAGGCCCTGGAAAAAGTAATGATGTGCCGAGACACTGTATAAGGACATGGCCTTTTATTCTGGGGGGGGGGGGGGGGGGGGTTGGGTTGGGAATAAAAAAACCCCTAGCCCCCCAAAAAAAAATAATATTTTTTTTTGATGGTGAAAAATAGTTGCCGGGGGAAAACAGGNNCCCCCCCCCCCCCCCCCCCCCCCCCCCCCCCCCCCCCCCCCCCCCCCCCCCCCCCCCCCCCCCCCCCCCCCCCCCCCCCCCCCCCCCCCCCCCCCCTACTGATTGCAAATCTAAAACCTCTATCCGACCAAAATACAGTCATAAGTTATAGTACTGGTCACAAAATGATCACGGGTCAAACTCTGCTCGCAAGTTGCTGTTTTTGGACTCGCAGTCATTGTTTATAATCTTCGCCTGATGTCCATAAACATCGTGCGCTTTTCAGAAAACTAAAATTCAAGCTCTAAAGCCGGATAATTGAGTTTTCGTGTATGTGAATATGTTGATTTTAATTTCCACTAGGAATTAAAATTTTAATTTCTATTAGGAGAATTTTAAACTTCATTGGATTTAAATTTCTCCTGCAACGTATATATTAGATGCAGTAGAAACGTAATAAAATTTGATACGGTCAATTTTTCTTCTGAGAGTGGTTCTAGTAAGTATTTAGAAATATTCGCCTCTTCATTCTACATCTAGGCTTCGATTAGTCGATGAAATTCAGGCATGAGTCGATGTCATGAGATAATCGCCTCGTCCTTTGTTTTCTTACTTTTAACTGCTGTTGGACATTCGACCCTTATTCCACATGATAGATCAAGGAAATAATGTTGTTCACCATAAAGTATTAGCATACATTTGCCAATACACTTTTGTAATAAATCTTTCTTAATTGGTTCTTCAATATAAAAATGAACTGGCACTTTTTTATCGTCAATATCTCTAAGCATAAAGCGTGGACGAAATATAAATCCATAATCAATAATTTCACCAACAAAGCACCATGATATAAACGGTGTACACACACCACGATGGTCGAAATGATAATACGTAAACGAAGGATCATTTACGTCGGACAATTGAGAAAATGGTGGAAAATATAAGCGATTCGTCAAACATACTTCGACTACAGTAAAAATAAATGAAATGTATGCAATTTCATTCAACAGGATTAAAATCATTTATACTTTCTGGACATGTGGGCAGTGATGTGCAGTTCTCCTCATCACAAACACTATGAAAATCATCTTCATCTTCTTCGATTTTATAACTGTTAACAGTGATCCTCATATCACCGATTAATTTTATTTGATCACATTTAATTTCTATCAGTGGTTTCTCCCATTTGTCTACTATAGATTTCAATTCATTTAGATTGCATTCTACTTTGGTCAAATCATGTTCATATAAATTTTTCTCTTGTTTAACTAATTCATTTAATTTCATCAATACTCTATTGTTCAATTTTGAATTCATTTGATCAATGTTTTTTACAATTTTTTTCTGTATTTCAGCTATTTCGTGTGATTTTCTCTTGTAAATATCTTCAATTTGTTCAATCAGACTGTCTTTCCATTTTTCCAGTGGCAATTGTGCATTCATCGTCTCATTTTGAATCGTATTCAAACATGATTTGAATGCATTTGTTTCGTCCATTAACTGCTGTAATTTTTCACGAACAATTATTTCATGTTTTTCGATATGCTCCAGACTATGTTTACGACAAAAATTTAAGTGACATTCATCACATGTAATCGACGATGTGGAAGTACATGTCTGAGAATGTTGACATTTCACCTTTATATCCGCCATTTAAATCTGAAATAATCTTGTGTAATCAAATGATTAAACTGTGCTCGGCAGAATTAAAAACGGATCATTCAGTACGACTTACGAGCTTCCTCCAACATCGAAAATTTTTTCTATGCTATTTTATAAAAAGGTTTTTGATCTTCTGCATTTATTAAATTTGACCAACGGTAAACGAGCGACAAACACATACGTAAAGCTAAAAGAGAGAAACGGGATCTCATCAGACCGTCTGCAGTTCAAGCAAAACTACTCAGCTCTCGTATCACTGTCGGACACGCTCAGCTCATTTCAGAGATATCGATTGTTTAAAAAAAAGGTAAAAAGTCCCTTAGGTAGATTCCCTTCACTTTAGTCTGCGGTCTACAAAATGGCTGTCTGTGACTTAGACAACCATTTTGTAATCATTGCAGCCAATGCCGAATCGGCAGGTTAAGATACGCTAGGACTGAATAATGGTAGGACTGAGAGTGGAAATTTCTGTCGTCCATTACAGACATGTACCTCTGTATAAAAATTAAATGCAGTATAGACACGATTTTCCAGTTTATTAAAG